ATATCTATGTCTATATCCATATCTATCTCTGTATCTTTGTCTATATATATTTATCCATCCATCTATCTATCTATTTTGTATCACACACACACACACACACACACACACACACACACACACACACACACACACACACACACACACACACACACACACACACACACACACACACACATATACATATATATATTATGTATGTGTGTACAGTATATACACATTTTTATGTAAGTAAACGATTAGCTCCAAACAGTCTGAAAGCTAAAGAAACCCGTCAAGAAGAAAGAAATGGTGAAATCAAAGAGAAAGAAAAGGGGAGAGAAAGAAAGAAAAAAAATCCCGTAACGGCGCTTTGAAAAATGAAGTGTCGAGGCGTAGTCCTTATCAAGAAGCGTTCATTAGGCTAATGACAGGGACATTTGCGTCGGAGGCCTAAGTGAGCATTTAATGTAACGAGGTTAACTTGGGCCGCGAAGCCTTTTGATTCAATTTGAGTGTTATCAGTGTCATGCTCACGTAATGACGAGTGCGTTGTGTAATTTGTGGTTCAGTCTTTTTTTTATGGTTATGTTGAGTTATGACTTTCTTTAAAAACGATGAGAGAATTTTGATTAGTAATGATGCCTGTTTTTTTCGTGGAAAGAGGGGTCTTGTTTAGAATTTTTCAATAGCACATCCAAGGTGGCTTATCATAATGAAACCAGGGATTGGAGATAACTGCCTGTAAACAAAACGAAAGTAAAATGAAGGTTGGAAGTAAGTTATGGAAAATGGATATATTAATGGAATTTTTCTGGGAAGAAAACCTCAAACGTCTGCGTTCGACGAGAAACACTAATTTTGCAGAAATTTATTTAAGAAATGAGAGCGTGTAGTTATAACCAGGAAGGACGATTTACAATTGTTTAGAAACTTGTGTGTCAGCCACTGCCACTCAAACAAATTAATTTTCAGGGATGTTCTTCTTATTATTGTTGTTGGAATATTTTTTTTTGTAAAGATTAACATTGGCATTGTCAATATTATCACTGTTACTATTATTAGTAGCAGTTGTAACATAAGTAACGCTGGTAATAGCACACCAGCAATAAAAAAAAAAGCTAGAAAAAACCCACACCCTTACCCCTCGCCCCCTAAACTATCCTAAACGAACCCCTTCCTCCCACGCTGACCCACGCCAAGCCCACCTCCAGCCCACCTCCAACCCACCGTCACCCACCCTGAGAACACCTACACAGCTCAACGAGAGCCACGCGCCTCTGCGGTGGGCCCGATGCGACGGTGCCAAGAGCGAGGAGGTGGTGGAGAAGGAAGAAGGAGAAGGAGGAGGAGGAGGAGGAGAGGAGGAGGAGGAGGAGGAGGAGGAGGAGGAGGAGGAGGAGGAGGAGGAGGAGGAGGAGGAGGAGGAGGAGGAGGAGGAGGAGGAGGAGGAGGAGGAGGAGGAGGAGGAGGAGGAGGAGGAGGAGGAGGAGGAGGAGGAGGAGGAGGAGGAGGAGGAGGAGGAGGAGGAGGAGGAGGAGGAGGAGGAGGAGGAGGAGGAGGAGGAGGAGGAGGAGGAGGAGGAGGAGGAGGAGGAGGAGGAGGAGGAGGAGGAGGAGGAGGAGGAGGAGGAGGAGGAGGAGGAGGAGGAGGAGGAGGAGGAGGAGGAGGAGGAGGAGGAGGAGGAGGAGGAGGAGGAGGAGGAGGAGGAGGAGGAGGAGGAGGAGGAGGAGGAGGAGGAGGAGGAGGAGGAGGAGGAGGAGGAGGAGGAGGAGGAGGAGGAGGAGGAGGAGGAGAGGAGAGAGAGAGAGAGAGTGAGAGAGAGAGAGAGAGAGAGAGAGAGAGAGAGAGAGAGAGAGAGAGAGAGAGAGAGAGAGAGAGAAACGGATTCATTATTTATTCACAGTTATACCTACACATACTTACACATATACTCACATCCACGAAAACAGTAAATCGCAAACAACCAAATAAACATCAACGTGCATCGAAATCTACACAGATGAAAATAAATCTACCAGCAATAATTTGTTATACTCGCTGCCGTGTAGCTTACGAGGCGAAAGATAAACAAGATATTGTATTACATCGCATACTAAACTTATAAGATACAGACAAGTTTATACGCACCCGCGCTGAACCTCTTGATAGCTTACTATTAATTATCAAGATGACTCACAATTAATTACATTTACATATTACATTCTTTATAATTCCCATCGGTCATCCTAATCATTGACTCCGATTAGATCTCCGACAAGAAAAACAAAATATATCTTGAGATTTAGATGTGCATTAAGATAAGGGACTTCTGGGAAATGGCAACAGCGCGGAGGCAGAGCACGGGCGCGGAGGATAGGCCCAAATAATAAGATGTTAAATGAGTGTGATTTCGGTCTCTGCGGGCGGCCGGTCCCTCTGTCTTCTCTCTCTCTCTCTTTCTCTTTCTCTCTTTCTCTCTTTCTCTTTCTCTTTCTCTTTCTCTCTCTCTCTCTCTCTCTCTCTCTCTCTCTCTCTCTCTCTCTCTCTCTCTCTCTCTCTCTCTCTCTCTCTCTCTCTCTCTCTCTCTCTCGCCTTCTTCTTTGCCTTCTTGCTCTTCTTCCTTCTGTCATTTTCTTTGTGTTCTTTCGTCTTTTCTTGATGCCTAATGTACACTGAAGGGCTTTCAAAAGAGAGACAAACAGACAGAGAGAAAGAAAGAAGGAAGGAAAGTGAATGAGAGAGAGAGAAAGAGAGAGAGAGAGAGAGAGAGAGAGAGAGAGAGAGAGAGAGAGCAGAAAGAAAGAATGAATGAAAGAACGAAGGAAGGAGAGAGAGAGAGAGAGAGAGAGAGAGAGATGGAAAGTCGGAAAGAAAGAGGGAGAGAGAGAGAGGCAGAGAGAAAGAATGAAAGAAAGAAGGAACGAACGAGAGAGAGACAGGGGGGGGGGGGGGCAGTGAAAAAATAACAGGTGGATGTGATTAGCACTGACGTCGGCGGTGATTGTTGATTGTTTGGTCAGTGTGGTGATTGTGGGCTCAGAATAATAGCGACTTGGCTTCATGTATTTATTGTGTTGACGTTCTTGAGGTGAGGTCCACAGTACCATTATAACAATCACTTTCTTACATATCACCTTATAGTTAAATTCACGCACACTCATACATCATCTTATTACGAAATCTGTGTAATGTCATCAGGCAGAAGACGGAAGTAGTGAGTCGTGGCATTTTCATTTGTGATTTCTCTATTATTTCTGTCGTTGAATCTGACAGGACTTTTTTCTTAATGGCTTTTGTTGTGGTCAGTGGAGTGACGATTGTGGTCGTTCACCAGCAAGACGTCACGCTTCTGTTACAAGTGAATTTCAATCTAATTACGATACGCTGTGACGTACATTGCGGCGAGGAAAAGTTGTTAAGAATAATTACCAATGATTATTTTAACTCGTAAAAAGAAAAAATTGTATCGGCGAGTGTAACGTTCATTGTCACACACCTCTACGGAGATATCGGAATAGTCTGACAGAAAATGATTTAAAAAGTCAGTAATAATAAAAAATATATAAAACTTCAGGATTTATTCGCTCTTCCATGTGACCCTCGATGACGCAAGGGGGCGAGCTGTTCCTCGTAGGCCTCTCCACTTGATTGTCACGGTAACCCGGCTTGAGGGTGATAGTGAAAGTCCCTGAAGACGCGGGTCAGATTATCATAATTCCGGCACTAAGTGGAGGTTGATCGTGACATCGTGCTGGAGTGGTTTCTTCGGATTGACCCTGGCTCGGGCGTGAATCGTTCTTCTCTGTCTTTTTTTTCTCCTTTTTTTCTATGCCTTTCGTTTTCTTTTCTACTGTCCTTTTCTCCTCCTTTCAGGGGTCACCTTCCTTCTTTTCTGTTTGTTTTTTTTCTTTCTTTCTTTTACTCCCTTTGCTTTTCCTCGATTATTTTCTTCTTTCGTTTCTTGCTATTATTCCTGCCCCTTTCTCCTCTCTTTTTCGTTGCCTTCTTTGTTTCCTCCTATTTCTCTTTTTTTCTCTCCCTTTTTCTTCTTTCTTTTCTGCTCGTTCTGCTTCTACCCTTTCTTTTTTTCCTTATCCTCTCTTCTGTCTCAGTGATTAGACGATACAACTAATGGTTACAGAGATGCAATTACCACACCGTCCTATGGCTACGGGTATTCGATCTTTAGTATAACCACGAAAGAGAAAAAGTCAAATGGAATTATATCAAATGCAGTTCAAAATGGCGAAAAAAATAGAGGAGTCGTATTTCTTTATTTTGAAAGTCTGGGAATAAAGATTATTAGCAGAGTCGTGGAAGCTGATTGATGCTCTGCAGTAGAAAGTTAATTTAGCATATAAAAGTCCCCTACTGTGGCCATAAATTATACTTTGAAAATGTTTAAATGTAGA